CTGACTAACGATCATTGGAACTCAGTATTGGATGAAGTGTCCTGATATGTGAATCAAAATGGCGCCGCTGTCGGGGAGTAGCGTTACTTAGAATTCTTTGATTGAAGATTTGAAACTCTCAAATTTGTTGGCTGTAGTTGAATTAGCTTTTGCTGCTTTCTGTAAGTGTTGATTGGACTATGTAGAAGTGAGCATGAGTGAAGAAGAGATGAATGATGGCCAAGCAGGTCATCGGGATGGTATAGACGATTTGAATAGTGTCTACAACCCAGCACAATTAGGTGGAATGGGTGCAATTTGTATCCACAAGCTGATGAGAATGCGATGTTTGAAGTCACTAGCACAACTCTTCACCTACTCCAAATGAGGGTACTATATGGAGGGCTAGATCACGAAGACCCACATGAGCATGTGAGTAAATTTACAGAGGTTTGCAACCCTTTTTCATTCAAAAATGTATCACAAGAGTCAATTTGGTAGTGGTTATTTCCACTGTCCTTAAAGGGAGAAGCTAATAAGTGGTTGGACGAGTTACCAAACAATTCCATCACATCATGGGAGGAGATGATTATAGAATTTAACAAAAGGTTCTTTCCTCCATCAAAGATGATGAAACTTAGAGATGAAATTCAAGGTTTCAAGCGACGAGAGGGGGAACCCATCCATGAAACGTGGGTGATGTTTAAGAAACTCCTACTTAAATGCCCAACTCATGGGCTACCAAATGATTTATTACTTTAATATTTTTATCGGAGTCTTGATTCGTTTAATAAAGGAGTGGCTGATCAATTGGTACGAGGAGGAATAATGTTACAATCATTTGAGGTAGCTTTCTTTTCCTCTTGATGACATGACTAGAATAAACAAAGCGTGGTACACCCAAGAGGATCAAGTCTCTCCATTTGATTTTAGATTAATGCAAAAACAACTTGATAAATAGAGAGAGGAGGATGAAAACATCAAGAAGATGTTGACCTTAATGGAATTTCTACAAGAGCACATGAAGGGGACATGTGGAGTGTTTAGAGTTGATGAGGGTTCTTCTTTCGGTTACTCAAGGCCGGGGGAGAATCAAGATTGGAGCTCCAAGAGATAAAAGATGGGTTTCTACTCATGCTATCTAAGGCAAGGCAGAAATCAAGGTTGGAACTATCACAAGGGAGAAGAAAAAAGGAGATACAACAAGATTGGGCTGAGCAAAATGATTATTGGAGAAGGGAACTTGATCATGATGAGAACCAGACTCGCTCGAGTGAGAGCCCAAAATCAAAAGGGAGTGCAAGTAGTCCTCGGGTGAATGACTTGCTGTCACACATACTTGATAAAGTTGAAGGTTCGGATGACTTGTTGAAAGGGATGAAAGATGATTTTTCATCATTGAACAGTAAAGTGAACTCTCATGCCGATGCCATTAAGATACTTAAAGTACAATTGAATTTATTATTAGCTCAATTGAAACCAGAGATGACGATGGAAGATGACAATAGAGGGCTGGCTATGGTTACTGGTAGCGGAAAGGTGGCAATAGGTAATGTGATGGGAAATGAAGATGCTCAAAAGCATGAAGAATATAAAGGCATGGAGGAACAAGAGTTACTTATCCACCAAAGCATTGCCAAAGAACCACAAAAGGAAGTGGAACGACACGTTCCAATTCCAAAAGTAATGCAACCTTTACCCCAAATACCACCACCATTCCCCCAATGCTTAAAGAAGAAGAATGAAGATGAGAAGTTCAAGAAGTTCTTGTCGGTGTTTAAGACATTATCAATTAATCTTCCCGTTGTGGAGGTATTGTTGGAAATGCCGGGATACGCCAAGTTCATGAAAGAGTTAGTCACAAAGAAAAGGAGCTCGGATTTTGAAACAATTGATGTTTCCTATAGTTGCAGTGCAATTATGACTAAGGAGCTTATCAAAAAGAGAGAAGATCCTGGGGTATTTACCATTCCTTGCACCATTGGTATGGTCCAATTCGCTAAAGCTTTATGCTATTTGGGGGCAAGCATCAACTTGATGCCTATGCGATATACAAACAACTTGGTTTGGGTGAACCAAAAGCAATCACAATGAGACTCTTAATGGCTGACCATTCAATCAAACATCCCGTGGGGATACTTTACAACATATTGGTGAAGGTTGATCGATTCATTTTACCGGCTGATTTTGTCATTCTCGTTTTTGAAATAAATATTGAGTTTCCCATTATTTTGGGAAGAGCATTCTTAGCAACCGAAAGAGCATTGGTGGATGTTGAAAATGAAGAATTAAAGTTTCGGGTGAACGAAGATGAAGTAACCTTCAATGTTTGTAAGTGAATGAAACACCCAAATGATATCCATGTGGTGTCCACCGTTGATGTTATTGATGAGTCGGTGGCTAGCGTGGGCCATTTGAAGTGCATGGGCGAACCTATTGAAGTCGTGCTTGCTAACTATGATGAATTTGAAATTAAAGGGTATGAAGAGGTAGTAGCTGCTCTTTCAGGCTTGGGAGGGTATTCAAAAATCCCATTGAAATTGAACATTGATTTGAATAATACAGAGATTCCTCTCGCAAAGCCATCAACATCAGAACCACCAAACCTGGAATTAAAAGCATTTCCCCTCATCTCTGGTATTCTTTCTTAGGGGCAAATAACACTCTACCGGTGATCATTGCGGCTGACTTGCTTGAATGATAGGTGAAATTACTTTTTGAGGTGTTACGAAGGCATACCAAAGCTATAAGTTGGACCATTGCTGATATAGTGGGCATTCCTCCCGGTATCTGTACTCACAAAATTAAGCTTGATAGTGAGTGTAAACCGAGTGTTGAACATCAGCGGATTTTGAACCCATCAATGCAAGAAGAAGGTAAAAAGGAGATAACAAAGTTGTTAGATGCAGGTGTGATCTACCCTATTACGAATAGCAATTGGGTAAGCCCGGTGTAATGTGTACCAAAAAAAGGAGGTATGAGAGTGGTCCCGAATGAAAAGGGCAGCTTGTATCTATGAGACCAGTGACCGGATGGAGGGTATGCATGGATTACCAAAATTTAAACTCATGTATAGAAAAAGATCACTTCCCAATGCCCTTCATGGATCAGATGCTTGATTGACTCTCAGAAAAAGGTTGGTATTGATTTTTTGATAGGTATTCCGGTTACAACCAAATTTCCATTGCACCGAAAGACCAAGAGAAAACACCCTTCACATGTCCCTATGGGACTTTTACCTTTAAAAGGATGCCAATCGGATTATGCAATGCCCCGTCAACCTTCCAACATGGCATTCTATCTATTTTTGCCGACATGGTGGAGGATTCGATGGAGGTATTTATGGATGAATTCTCATTTGTGGGTGATACTTTTGAGACGTTTTTAGAACACTTAGGACAAGTTCTCCAAATATGTGTGGAGACAAACTTGGTCCTCAATTGGTAAAAATGTCATTTTATGGTTAAAGAAGGGATAGTACTTGGTCACAAGGTGTCGCAAAAGGGGCTGGAGATTGATCAAGCAAAAATTGAAGTGATTGAGAAATTAACACCACTAATTTCGGTAAAGGGGGTTCATAGTTTCTTAGGTCATGCCGGTTTCTACCGGAGGTTCATCAAAGACATCTCAAAGATTGCACATCCTTTATGCAAACTCTTAGAAAAAGAGGTGAAATTCCAATTTTATGATGCTTGTATGGTGGCTTTCCGGTGCTTGAAAGAGAAATTAGTATCCACCCCGGTCATTATTAGTCCTGATTGGTCTGAATATTTTGAAGTAATATGTGATGCAAGTAGAACGGCATTGGGTGTTGTGCTGGGGCAAAAACGCAACAAACTTTTTCACCCAAAGACTCTAAACACTGCTCAGCATTACTATACCGTTACTAAACAAGAGTTGCTTGCGGTAGTGTATGCATTTGAGAAATTCCGGGCATAGTTGTTAGGCACTAAAGTAATTGTTCACACTGATCATGTTGCACTATGTTACCTAATGGCAAAGAAGGATGCAAAACCGAGGTTGATAAGATGGGTGCTATATTGCAAGAAGTTGACTTTGAGGTCAAAGATAGAAGAGGTTGTGAAAATCAGGTGGCTGACCACTTATCAAGGTTAGAGGGCAAGGAGAATGACGAGCCTGAGGTTGACATAGACGATTCCTTCCCCGATGAATAAGTGTTTGTGATAACTCTCAAATAAACTCCCGGATATGCAAATTTCACCTATTACATAGTATGTGGATTAATTCTGGACAAGTTGAACTTCTACCAACAAAAGAGGTTCATGTTCTACGTTAAAAAGTACTTTTGGTATGAACCATACTTGTTTTGAAAGTGTGTAGATCATATCATTAGAAGGTGTATTCCGGAAGAAGAAGCGGTATAAATTCTCCATGCTTGTCATGCTTCACCGGTCGGGGCCCATCATAGTGGTGTGCGTACAACCGCTAAAGTTCTCCAAAGTGAATATTACTAGCCATCCCTCTACAATGATGTGCATGAATTTGTGAAGAAATGCGCTCAATATCAGAAGCAAGGTGGAGTGTCGAAAAGACACGAGTTACCCCTTACTCCCATTTTATAAGTTGAGTTATTTGATGTTTGGGGAATCGACTTCATGGGCCCATTTGTGAGGTCCTTTGGTAATAAGTATATCTTGGTGGCAGTAGATTATGTTTCTAAATGGGTGGAAGCTGTTGCCCTTCCAAACAATAAAGGGAAAAGTGTGGTTCAATTTCTTAAACGCTACATCTTTGCTAGATTTGGTACTCCTCGAGCTATCATTAGTGAATGTGGATCCCTCTTTTGCAATAAATAGTTCTCAACTGCATTGATTAAGTATGGGGTGAAACACAAAGTAGCAACTCCATATCATCCCAAAACAAGTGGTCAAGTTGAAATGTCAAACCAGGAGATCAAGAGCATCTTGGCTAAGACAGTGAATGCTAATAGGACTGATTGGTCTCAAAAGCTTGATGACAAACTATGAGCGTATCTCACCGCATACAAAACTCCAATCGGTATGTCTCTGTATCAGCTAGTTTTTGGAAAGTCTTGCCATCTACCGATTGAATTAGAACACAAAGCAATGTGGGCATTGAAAGCTCTGAATTTGGACTGGACAAACACTTCAAAAGAGAGAGTAGAGTACTTAAATGAGTTGGACGAATTTAGGTTTAAAGCTTACAAAAGTTCAGCTCTCTACAAGGAAAAAATGAAGAAGTGGCATGATGCTAAAATACTTAAGAGAGAGTTCAAGGTGGGAGATTGGGTGTTACTATACAACTCCCAACTTAGACTCTTTCCTAGAAAGATCAAGCCCAAATGGTCAGAACCATTTAAAGTGACACGAGTATTCACAAATGGTACCATAGAATTTGAGAGTCGAGAAGGACCTGCATTTAAGGTGAATGGGCAACGCTTGAAGTTATATTTTGGAGAATGCCAGGATATCTCTTTGATTGAGGTGGTGTACCTAGAAGATGGCTAAGAGTATTTCCATGTCATGCCATGACGTTAAATAAAGTGCTTCTTGGGAGGTAGCCCAAGTGTTAGTGTTTTTAAATAATGTGTGTTGATTTTGCAGAAGCTGGATCATGTGCGAGACAAAAGTGCTACTGGCGAGTAGCCTAATCTATTCGGCGAGCACAATTTGGTCCGCCTTATGGACTAAAAAATAGGGCTGAGACTCTGGAATATTCGGCAGAATACCTTCACCATTCGTTGAGTCGCCGATGTGCTTAGGTGACCCGACTTTCGTCGCCCTTTTTCCTTCGACGTTGATAACGTTCCTCAAGGATCATCTGGCGATATTCTGAGTCCATTCTAAGAGTCGTCGAACTGTTTGGCGACCTCCTACATGTTCGTCGATCTTCCCTTCTCTGAGAGTGCATCCCACTAGAACTAAGGGCGATCTGAAGAACAATGGGCGCATCGTCGAAGCATCCAGCGATTGGTTCACTCTCTCGCCAATTGGGCACTTCGTGAAGATTCCTTATTACCCTGTTCTACTTGTTTACATACAAAAATGTTATCATTTCTTATTAGTCTATCTTTATTATTCTTATTTTGTTTTATTTGCGGTAATGCCCACTCTCTACCTACATTGAGGACAATGTTGAATGCTTTTTGTGGGGGTGGGGGTGGGGGTGGCAATTAGTCAGTGAACCCCCTCATCTTTGTGCCACCTCTCTTGTTTGTGTTTGACTATGGTTATTCTCGTGCAAATTTGAGTATCGGTCTTGATTAATACCGATGACTTAAATAGTGCTCATAATCAAACAAAAGTGAATGTTCGGCTACGATGAGGCCAAATGAAGTTGCATAGACAATATGTGAACTTTTTGCATCTCATTGTGACTAGCCAAGTATTGAATTGAGTCTCTTGTGATGAACATTGCACACTAGCGAAAGTGTGGAGTCTTGTTTGATATTGGTGTCTATGCCTTGTGTGATGAGCTTACCGTGAACCATGTGTGATGACACCTAGAATTTGCCCCGTTGGTCCGGTTGACTAAGTAATGCAATCTCTTGATATGATCTTAGGAAACTTTGAAGAGTGTGAAACAATTTGACATTATACCACTTTTGTGGTCTACCTTGTGAGTGTGTCAACCCCGTTTGAACACCCTTTGAGCCTTAGCTATTTCTTGGAAGAAACTTGATGAAATTGTGGCCTTTCTTGACCCATTATCCATAATCCTTATGATTTGTGGTTTGTGTGAATAGCCAACTTAGGCCAAAACCCTAAGTTAGGGGTGTCGTGAAAAGAAAAGGTAAATCAAGAAGTGCAAGAAAGTCCCCTTTGACCCATGGTTTTAAGAAAAATAGAACCCCTCCATATAAAAAAAGACGAGAAAGAAAAAAAAGAATGAAAAAGAAAAAAAGAATGAAAAAGTTGTGGAATAAAGTTGTGAAAGTGCAAAGAAAATGAGGTGTCCAAGCAATCCATGGAAGATGAATAACGGGGTGACTTTTGAGCACAAATGAGAATGATGAAGAAAAGGAAAGAAAGTGTTGTTCACACCACATGTCATGAGGATTACAACCATTGAGCCTAAATGACCATACCTTTGCACTCAGCCCTGTTACAAGCCTTGAAAAGACCTTTTTGATTTTTAGTGAGCTGAAACAAGGGTTGATTGGAAAATACGGGAAAACCTATGGGTGAAGTCATGCATTGTGTTCATCTTTGTGAGTGTGAGTGTTGCATTTGATTCTGGAGCTTTAAATTGTGAACCATTGTGTGTGAATATGGAATCATTATTTGTGTGAGGGCAATTGAGTACCTTTGTTGAGCTTGAACTTGCATTTGCAGCAAGTATTGCAAACTTGAGAATCTTTGATAGTGGTGAGTCACAACTTGAATCTTTGAGTGCACAATTGATCCTTGCATGAGTAAGTTGAGTCTTTTTGTGTGCATTCATGATTGAGTCTTGTGTAGCACTATTTGAGACATCCCTTTTGAACTGCTGAACTTGAGTTGTACTTGAGGACAAGCAAAAGTTTAAGTTGGCAGTGTTGATGAGTCCACGCTTTGGACTCATTTAGGGATTTATTTTAATAGATTTAGTGTCCTCAAATGCATGTTTTGTGCTAATGAATGATGTAAAAGATCTGATTTTTAGGTATTTGGATTTATGAATGATGCATGGACACTAATATGCAGAAAGGAACAAAGCAAGCTAAAGGAACGAAGACATAAAGACCTGATGATTGCCGGTGACATTCGATGAATCGCCAAATGGCCAGGATACCGCCTAAAGTTTCAGAATGCTGGAGCTAAAATGGGGGTGATTTCGATGAGCATCAGTTCAATTCGGCGTGTCGCCGATCTATTCGGTGAAGGACAACCAGGTCGCCAAAAATGCAGAAGAAGATTCAAACAAGTGTTGATGGGCGAGATAGAAGGAAAAAGGGCGAATCGCGGAGTTATTTGGTGATCCCATTCTGGATAGCCTAAAGTTACAGTAGCCACACCAAGAAGAAGTGAAAAATATAGGCAAGATAAAGAACAATCGATGAGTCGTCGATCTGTCGGCAACACCCGACTTACCTCGCCGAGTGGTCTTAAACAGTGATACATCAGTCTTGTTTAAATTAGTTTTTCCTAGAGAGAAAACGACATTTAGAAATGGGAGGGATAGAAAATTGAGAGCAAAAACATTACCATTGTGGTTTTCAACGGTGTTTTAGCAAGATTCTTGGTTGATATTTTGTAATAGAGATGATTTTGGTAATTCCTAACTTTTGAATTTCAAATTACCGAGCTGTAGAATACATGGTAGATGTTGATTTTCTTATTTTTGTTATGAGTGGCTAAAACCCTCTTCTTGGGTTTTGACTATGAAGCCAATTGTTGAGTTTTACTAAGTGGGTGTCGTTGAATTGCAAATAATGGCATTAATTTGAAGTGGGTCTGAGTTGCTGATGCGTTTTGAAGTTGAGTTGCATGGTTAGTTAACAAGATTAATGTTGTGTGCTTGCTCGAGAGAGAGGTGCAGAGCCAAAGTAGAAATATTAGCATCCTTAGTAGTGGGTCACCATGATTTCAGCTCAAGAGAGTGAAACATGGGATCTCCTTTGTATCCAGTTCGAGAGAGTGGATTTGATGAGGACCAAGGGTTGGGCATCTTCCGGTTAGTATCGAAGTTCGAGAAAATTTGACATAGAAAAGGTAATTGTTCGAGAGAAAGTTACTTTACATATGGTCCGACCTACCCATAAGAGCACTATTCAAGTCATGAGTATTGATCATAACCAATACTCAAATAAATAACTTTTTTGAACGAGCATGGAACTCACTGACCAAACATACACCCTCACCAAAAGCATTCAACATTGTCCCCAATGTGAGTAGAGATCAGACAATACCCAAGAATGAAAAATAAATATAAACAACTGGTATGTAAACACGCAGAGCAAGGTGACAAGGAATCTTCACTAGGTGCCTGTTTGGCAAAAAAATGTAATAGTCGTTGAACCGCTAGGCGATTCGCCCAATATTCTGGATATCGCCATTATTTCCAGTATGCACCATGTACTGAAAGTAGGCGAAAAGGTGGAATTGAAGGAACTCACCAAATAGGTCGGCGCTTCGCATAAATGACTTATAACCTTGCCAAATGATCCATTGTGTCAAGCTATTAGAGCTGGGGCAGGAAGGCAGAGAAAGTCGGGTCGCCCAATCACTTCGGCGAGTCACCGAGTGATGAAAACTTCCCGCCTAATGTTCCAGTATAGCAGCCCTACTTTCAAAGTCCAGAAAATGGACTACGTCGGGCTCGTCGAACAGATTCGGCAATCTGTCAATGGTGTATTCACCTCGCACAATTGCTTGCACCTACACAATCAACGCACATTATTTGAAATACTAACACTTGGGTTGCCTCCCAAAAAGTGCCTTATTTAACATCATGGCACGATGTGGAAATGCTCTCAAGAATCTTCTAGATACACCACCTCAATCAGAGAAATCTCTTTGCATTCGCCAAAGTACAACTTCAAACGTTGCTCGTTCACTTTAAATGTAGGTCCCTATTTACCTTCCACTTCAATGGGACCATTTGTGAACACCCGTGTTACTCTAAATGAACCTGACCATTTCGATTTGAGCTTTCCTGGAAAGAGTCTGAGTTGAGAATTATATAGTAACACCCAATCTCCTACTCTGAACTCCCTCTTAAGGATTCTAGAATCATGCCATATATTCAACTTTTCCTTGTAAAGAGCTGAACTTTCATAAGCCCAGAACCTGAATTCGTCCAACTCATTTAGTTGATCTACTTTCTCTTTTGAAGTCTTTGCCCAATCCAAATTTAGAGCTTTCAATGTCCATAATGCTTTGTGTTCCAATTCAATCGGTAAATGGCAAGATTTTACGAAGACTAGCTGATACAGAGACATACCAATTGGTGTTTTGTATGAGGTGCAATACGCCCATAGAGCATCATTAAGCTTTCGAGACCAATCAGTCCTATTTGCATTCACTAGATTAGGGATGGTATGAAGTTGCTACTCTGTGTTTCACTCCATACTTGCTCAATGCGGATGCAAAAAAATTGTTGCAAAAATGGGATCCCCCATCAGTAATAATAGCCTGAGGAGTACCAAATCTAGCAAAGATGCAATGTTTTAGGAATTGAACAACACTTCTCCCTCCATTGTTCGGTAGTGCAAAAACCTCCACCCATTTAGAAACATAATCTACTGCTACCAAAATGTACTTATTACCAAATGAAATCACAAATGGGCCCACAAAATCTATTCCACAAACATCAAATAGCTCAACTTCTAAAATGAGTGTGAGAGGCAACTCGTGTCTTTTGGACACTCCACCTTGTTTCTGACATTGAGTGCATTTCTTAACAAACTCATGAGCATCTTTGTGAAGGGTGACAAACATGTAGAATTTCGATGGCTTCTTTCTTCGGAACACATCTTCTAATGATATGGTCTGCACACTCTCTGAATAAATATGGTTAATCCCAA